TGAAAACCTACCTCAGAAAAGTAACATCAATCTTTTTAAGAGCTGACCCAGGGCTTAGTGGCAGCTTTCTGCAGTCCTCAGCCTGTGTTCCTGTGCTTGTACTTCAGCAGTAAGTTTTTTAGGGCAGCACAAGATGCACTGATGCTGCTGATGGTGGCTCAGCCTCTCTCTCCTGTCACTTCCTACATGAATAGTAAATGGGAAACCTCTTGATTTTTATATTAATCATTAATTAATCTTAATTATTCGTTTGTGTTACTCATAAGTAACTCGGATTCTGTCAAGAGTTTTCTTATCAGGGTTGAAGAGTTCTTCCATTCAGATGTGTTTATGTAACAAGAAGTGCTGTTATAAAAGTGGGGAACAATATAAATAGCCAAGTAATGGCCATGGTAGCTACGTCTGGAGTTACTGGAATGCACCAGACGGCTCTTTAGCTGGAGTTGTAGTCAGGTAGGGATCTGCTGTGAGACTTTGGGCCTAATGTGTTAATGTATTGCTCCTGATAATAAATGGCTTCACGGATTCATCTGGGGGAAAATACGGTTCGAAGATGGAATAAAGCAGTGGTAAATCAGGCTTCGTGTTCCTCGTAGTTGTTATGCCAAAAGCAGGGCAGCAAATAATCCTGATGGTGCTGAGCATTAAGTTTGCTTGTTATAAATGCAGGGTCAGGTACCAGTCTCCAGCGTGATTTCACCTGGGAACATTGCCATAAGGATTACAAATGGCTTTCAGCCTGAAAACTGGGGTGTATTGCTTTAAACTTCCAACAGGGAGTTGGCAATTGATCCTTCAGGTAATCATCTTGTGTTAAGTTGAACATCTTACTCTAACTTTTTGCAACATGATAAACCAGGTCCCATGAATAATTTACTGCGACTGGCAACCCACTTCAGCTCTGAAGTCTTTACCAACTCTGGTGGCTTTTCAAAGTTGAATAATAAACTTGGAGCCAAAAATCTCATCGCGCTCAAAGTCAGTGGAATTTCAGTGTTAATTGCAGCGGGAATCACAGTCTGACCTTTTAGGGCAACTTCTCGTGAACAGCGGCTCCACATCACATCACTGTGAGGACAGAGCCGTGTCTGCCTCTGAGTAAGCAGAGCTCATTCACCTTCCCTTGTACGCTACTGCTTCGTGCCTTTTGTGCAGATTTTATCTCATGTAGGTGTTTGAAATATTTTTTCACTGGGAAAAAAAAGTTGGCTGAATTACCTGAGCCTTCATTGCTTTCATGGCAGGTTTAGGATGTGTTCCGTACTGCACTACTGCAACACAGCACGCGAGATGTGCGTATCCCACCCAAGTTAGCCTTGTAGCCCTACAGGAACCTGCCATGGCAATCCAGCTGGTAATCTAGGAGGAACAGCAACACCCCTGAGTGTGTTTTCATGTTTTAATTGTCTTTTTAGGACAAGTAATTTTTGTCCTCAAAAAAAATTGTTTAGAAAATCTACAAGTATGCCGTGACTAAATCTCTCACCTCACGATGACTCTGGGAACTGTTTTACTAGTTTTATTAATGTGTGTGATACCAATCTCAGTTTGCTCGTCTCATATTTTGACTTAATGTGAGTACTCGGATTATTAGCTGAAGCAAACAGGAAATGAAGCAGTGCCCTCAGGTAGGATACTTAGAGGAAAATGAATTCAAGAAAGCCGTGGAATAATTGGTCCTGTATGGACCAGAATAACGGAACAAAACCTGAGTAACGGAAGGTGCCGTTTTCTCAGCACAAGGCTATTTGCAGATCAAGCTTCTCAGCACATATAAAAAACTGGAAACGGTTTATAAAACCCCACCTTTTACAGTCCAGAGGAAACGAAGGTGATTAGTTAAGAGTTCAAGAGTTCAAGTTCAAGAACCAAAGCCAGCCTGAAACAGAGACTTGTGGCAGAGCCCCGTGTCAGGCTTTGAAGGCAGCCGATTCGCCTTCCAGACCCAGGTATGAAGCTTTTGTTACTTTAATCACTGGCTTGCTGCGGATCTTTAGGTTAATAACACCGGGTTTTGTTCTGAGTAACTTGCTCTGCATGGCTGCAGCCTGCACGGGGGGGCCCTGCGCGCCTCCGCCCCCCAGCACCTGCAGGGCTCAGGCCCCTGCTCACTCGGGTGCTTTGTGGATCAGAAATCCTGTCTGACATCTATCTGACAGTAATGCGGAATCCTTATCATTTCGCTTTTTGAGAAGCTGAGTGCCTTTTGTCAAACGTAACGTCTCCTGGGGGGCCCAGTAGATAGAGCGGTGCCTCAGCACTGCTGCGCCAAAGGAAATAGAGGGGACAGTGCTGTGGGCTAGAACAGACTCATCACATTTATGGAGCCTGATTTTGTTACAAGATACAGGAGTTGGGTTTTTTTAATCATGTGCTTTGATACCAACATCCAAGCAAGATTTTTTTTTTCTGTAGAAATTCAGTAGCTCCTCAGGGAGTATGTATGTGATGGCCATGTGAAAATGTGTGGTTGTGTTTTGCTGAGGCTGCGTCTTCAGCGAAAGTGCAAAGGAATTTGAATGAATGCTGTAAATCAGCATGCAAGTGCCCTGACTTCAGTGGAACTAAGAAAGTGTCTGGCTATTGAGTCTCCAGTCCCTTGAACAGGGACTGCTATGGCAGTTGCTGCTGTAGCAGAAATGAAAGGTCCAGGTTCTCAGGAAAATTTTCAAAGTTACCCCAATGACTTAATAGTCCGTATTCAGTCATCTGGACTGAAAGAAAGTAGTGGAGCGATTGTTCAAAAATCACTTTCCTAAATGACTGCAAAATTGCTGTTTTGTTGTGTCCGTTGATGGGGATGTTGCAATATTGTGGGAACAGATGACCTGGTAAAACGTGCCTGTATCCTCTGAAGTGTTTTAAACAAAAGTGCCTCAGTTGCCCATTTTGTGCTGAAATAAGACTGCAAACCCGTTTGAGTACTTGTTGATATGTTTGAAGAAGTACTGCTGTGGGCATTTCTCTATTTAACACTAATTTAAATCACAACTACAAACTGCCTTCCTGTATCACTACCTCAGTCACTCTCAAAAAAATCATCTGGATAGATCTTAAATGTATCTCAAATAGTTGCTGTTGGTCTGTCTGGAAAGCGCCTTCTAAATGTCTGTTGCTCTTCCAAAGCATCCGTTTTGTTTGCAGGGATGTGAATTACCTAATTTATCTGTTGGGGTGTGCTCCTGCTAGTCCTTCCACAGCCCTTACAGGTCACTTCAGCCAGTCACAACCAAGCATTTTGCTAACGTGCTCTGCTAGGTTTGTTTATTTCCCCTTCTCTCCTCCTGTAAGGCGTGACCCAACCAGTCAACTTTTCTCTATTCAAACCTAGAACCCAGACCCACCTCAGTTTAGCCAGCTCAGATTTCTGTTATCATTTCATCATTTCTGTGGGGTGAAAAGAATGAGACTTGATGAAGGGGGTCAGACCTTTGATTAGTGTAAACCATTAATAGCAACTTCATTAACTTTTTATGCAGCTATGTCAGTTCACATTTGCTGCAGATCTGCCCCACAAGTGTTCCAGGAGGGTGAAGAGAGGACACAGTCTCGCACACAAACACCACCATTTGTTCTGATCTGCATTTAATCCCTGCACGGACTGATTTCCATGTTCAAAGTTGTTGTTTTACGTTAAGCTGCCAAATCTCTCCTCAGTCCTGGTTTGTTGTGTTTCTTTGCTTTCTCTCCTAGTTGCAATTAATATTTTATCAGTTTTCACAAATAAGAACACACACATACAAAGCAAGCTACAACATCAACAGTGAACAGATACCGGGAGACAGTACCATCAACCTCTGGGAACAGAGAAGATTCCCAAATACACGCAGCACCATTTCCAGCTCCCTTTGGTTAGACACGTGGAAGGGATACAGCAGGATGACTGGGACGTTAACTTGGTGCTTCTGCCCAGCTCTTGCCTGTTTGACTGATACCAGCCGCAGCTGTCAAAGCCTTACACCTACCCTTATCAGATAAGGCTACTAAAGCATGATGCTGCAATTTCATCTTTCTCATGGTCCTCTCAAGAAAAAGGTCTGACTTTAGCAGAATTAATTCTATTTGTGATTAGCCAACAGACAGTCCCAGCATAGTCCTGTGTTATCTTTCTCGTAACCTGTTCTCTTCAAGAGGAATGATATCGGCTTTGGCAAGCCCACCTTCCTTCCCCTTCTTTTTCTTTCTTCTAGAGAAACCTCCCACATATCTTGTTTGTAGTCAGAGTGAAAAGAATTTGTGTAATATCGCAGTCTCACGCTTCTGTCCTGAGTGTAATCACTGAGGCCTGTGAGAGCACTCCCTTCGCTACAGATCCAGAGCAGCCAGTGTCTGGTCCCTTCTGCCAGTCTCTTGTGTCTGTGTCTATTGTCATACACGAAATGAGAACAAATAGCCTGAAACATGGCCATTCTGTTCCCTCTCCTGCCATGTATCTGTCTGTCACCAACTGTTAATAACTTTTTATTGTATATACTGGATTCTGGTTAGCTGCCTCAAATTTGGGGTTTTGGCATTTGTTTGTAGAAAACCTTCATTTCTCTCTCCGTGGTCTAAAAGATTGAGATCCTTTCTGCTGAACTGCTGTGCTGCTGTTCTCTTTTCTTACCTCTCCAGTTAGGTATTCTCCTCAGATGAAACAGCCTAATCAGAGTTGATGGCAATACTCAGACTAACCCCTTCCTGCTAGCGGGTGTCCCCGAAGACCCATGGTGCATGATCATAGGAAACAGAAGTAAAAAGGCACACAATGAGACCACAATCCCTTTTGTTTGAGCATTTCCAAGTCAATAGTTAACTGTTGTTGTTGGCAACAATTAATTGCTAATTTAGAACAACTTTTAAAAATGTTCTGTTGCCTCCTGCATGAAAGGAAATAATTTAAAAGCCACTATGGGGTCAGCCTACTGCTCTTCAGCGTATTTATCTTTGCCATTAGCTTTTTGGTAAAAGTGCTGCTTCTGTCTAGAGGCCACAAATCTTGTTTGTGCTTCCTGTTGCAGAATGTTTATTACACAAGCAATCAGCAGCTCCATGTGGGTGTTCTGAGTCCCACTATCGACGATGATGACAACAGATGCCTGGTGGATGTGAACAGCAGGCCCAGGCTCATTGAATGCAATTATGCCAAAGCCAAGAGAATGAAGCTTTACTGGCATTTTACTCAGGTAATTCTTACTCAGCAGACATTTCAGAAAGTTCAAAAGCTCTGTTTCTGGATCAGAAGTGTGAGTAATCTGTTTACTAACAGAAGAGAACCAGGTTTAGCCTTGCTTTCTTTGCACAGAGCCAGGAAGCCATGTTTACATTTGATCCCAATGTCAGCTATCTCAGGAGGTTATAAAACTTGTATTTTATTTTCTGAGTTCACAATAAATGATTTGTTTCTAAGACAGAGCGAATGCTACAGAATTACCTCAATGGGGAAAAAAAAAAGTTATCTTTGTAGAGTCAAATGCAAAAAGTAACCTATTTAGAAACAAACAGCTATTTTTTGTTGTTTTGGTTTTTTGGAAGTAGCAACTCAGAAAAGGGAGTAGTGGATCATTGATGGCAACAGCCTCATCATGAGCTACCTTTGCAGTTCCTGACTTAAAAAGACTAATGTGCGTGCATGTGTGTGAGAACAAGAGAGAGAGAACAAAAGAAGTGCAGGTAAAGGCTGAGAAGTGATTTTACAGCGATGAGAATGCTGACAGGGCACCGAGTCCAGGCCTGGTGTCCACACTTCATAACTGATTTAGAAATCCGAGGGAGAACTGTAAAGCCACAAAAGTTCTGAGGCTAGAAACATGCTCTGCGATACAGTGCTGCTGGGATCACTCTGTTCACTTAGCCAAGAGGAGGTGTGCAAGGTGACCCAGAGCCTGTCAGGACATGGGTTATCCTGAAGACAAAACAGGTTCCAGTAGTTGGAAGCTGAAGACAGTCAAATTTTGTCTTTCAAAGGAAGGTAAGAGTTAAGACATTGGAAGTCTACCAGTTATCAGGGACTGACAGGACATGTCAGTTGCTTAGGATGAATAAAATGGGAGAGGACAGTTCTTCCCAAAACAAGTATTGGCTTCTGTGAAAAATTCAATAGCTAGTGGGAGTTTGACTGCTCACAGTTGCTCCTCTGCAGTTTTGAGGCTACAGAGCTAGTTGTGTGCTCCAGCCCATGGGCTGAGGCTCACCGTTAAGGTAATTTTATTCCTGCATTTGATTTGTCTGTATCATCCCTGTGGGTTTGCCAATGTCTTGACTCCAGCAGCCACGATGGGTGTATTTAAGACATGGGTACTGCAGTTTAGCACCTACCTTAGTGCAGAAAGCGTTTGGACAGTAATCAGTAATGCATACTGTTAATGAAATTTGTAGTTACACCTGAAGGCAATCCAGATCTGTGTCTTTCAAGGGGACGTCTCAGGCACCAGGCCTTAAATCCCTCACCTGGAGAGAGACCCCAGCTCTTGCTTTCAGTCGTCTCAAGAGCAGAGTTTTAATTATGCCTTCTCTCAAACCGTAACAAGAGTCTCGTCATGAGGGAGGGGGAGCCTCGCTGTGGCCATCTCTGCACTTGATTTTTGGTATCATTTTAAAAAAGTATAATTAGCATATTTATTCAAAAAGTATTTCAGTACTGTCCACCTATTCAGTGATTTCTCTGTGGAACCCAGCCCTCCGCTGCTGTTCTGTAATACTCATTATGTCAGATCTGATTTGGGGGGCAGCAGTAGAACACAGTGACAATTTAAGTATTCCCAGCTTCAGAAATGGGATTTAACTACTTCAGGTTTGTTTTCTGTCTCTATTTCCATTCCACGTTCCAAATACAATCTCCCACTGAAGGTGCTAGTGCTGGTAAACTACCCTCTGTGGACTGTACTTAAGTCTGCTACAAAGAAACTTCTGCCCAGGAGAAGTGAAAGCTAATTAGTTGTTTCCTTATGATAAATTAAGAAACAAATAAAATAATTAAAAGCTTACTGTTCAAAAAGGATTCTGTTAATACCCAATGCAATTAAAATGCCATTATTTCTCAACATACAGCATGGTATGCAGCCCCTTGTACGTTCTGTAAGCTAGAAGAAAGCTAATGAGAGTAATCAAGGCTTGCCAATATCAGCTGATGAACTCCATCTATTTAGACTGGCGAGAGGATGCTTCTGTGAATACACTGGAAGCTGTCTATCTGAAAAGAGTCTTTTATTACATTTTTAAAGCTCTGGTATTTATTTCCCATATTACACAATGAGCAGAGCTACTAAAAATAAACAGGACTGTAAGTACTGATGCTGATGGAGTCCTGAAGTTTGTGAAATCCTAATTAAAATGTAGATGCTGGCCACAGCTTTTTATAGCATCTTCCTTTGCCTTCGAGTATGCTTTGACTTCTCTGGATTCTCTAGCCATTCAACAAGCATGTCTGATGATACAGATAATTAAAAATATAGCACTGCAAGTAGAGAACTGCCTCAAAGGGAATGGGAGCAAGATTTAACAACCAGAGCAGGATGAACTAATTGAACTAGATTTCGCTGTCACGGATAGAGTGATGCACTTCACTCGCAAGAGAGAAGCAACAATATATTTTATTGATGTAAGATGGTGAGTTAACAAAGCTCAACAGTAAATGCGACGGGTTTAATTTATCAAGATGCCACAGCAAGGTGCACCTGAGCAGTTACTGCATAGAGGACAGGGTCAGACAAAAGCGTCAGGGAGACCCTCCCGCTGAGTCATGCGGTCTGGAAAGGACCCCCTTCAGTTTTAAACTGCCTCCCAAAGAGGAGTCTAGGCAGGGCGGGATCCAGTCCTAGTCCCAGACTTGGTCAGTGGCTTGTGTCCGAAGGATTCTGTGTGCCTCATCAATCCTTTACAGCACTCGGCTGAGATTTCAGAGTGACATGCTATTAATTTCTTACCAAGAACCTGTTGTGGCAAGGACCCTCTCAACCTCGAAGGAGTGAGTAACCTTTAGAGGTGTCCCTGCTCAAGGGGAGATCCTGCCATGCAGGGGAGCTCAGCAGGCCCTGGGCTGTCCCCTGTTGATGGAGCAAGACAGGTAACTGACTTAGTCATATTTTTATATTGACTACAGATGTCCCTTTCTTCCAGCTTTGACTTGAGTCAGGCATTGGCCAGCGCTGTGGTCAGGCGTGTGCGTTGCCCAAATTAGACCCATCTGCCCCAAATCCACTTGGCCATATGCATCCATTTATCACTTGAGCAGGTTTATGGCAACAACACCATCACAAATATCAGTATTTACTCTGAATTCCAGACATGTGTCTTCAAGTATGAGGAAACTTTCTCATTTTTCCACAAAACACACTTCTGAGAGGCACCATGATAGTCTGTGGTGGGAGATGGGACTTCAGGCTGTTTGACAGAAGACTCTAAAGCTTTTTGGAAAAAGGATTCTTCAGATAACATTTTCCTCCTCCCTTGCATTGCTGAAATGTAATGAGAGAAATCCTTATGGCAGAAGTAGAAAATAGGGGTCATCCTCAGGTAGTGGTCTTGCTTTGGTAGATCTATTACAGAATTATTTAATTCTTAATTTGCATCTTTGGTTAGAAGCGTGTGTGTGTGTATACTGAACAATTTCTTTTTTAAAAAGTTAATCTTTTACTTTGGTTTTAGAATTTGAAGTTATGTGGCTACCTTCATTTGTAGGCAGCTGGAGTCAGACGCTGAGATGTCCACTGCTACCTCGCGGGCCGAGCTCTAGTTTAGTGACAGGGCAGTCACGTGGAGGGATCCACCACCAGCACCGCAGAGTGTTCTCATTGTACATCACGCTGGCTGGCTGGACCACTGATTCGCTGTGGTCTCTTGCTGTGCAGGACAAACTTGCATTGAGCATTCAAAGCTTGTGCAATGTGTTTGTATAATCAGGATCCATCTAAGCAAATTTCCATGCTCCACAGTTTTGTACAGCTGCCAAGTGCAACAAGACCCAGTAAACTGTAGGCTTCAGTGACATTCTTCCTTCCAAGGCTTCTTCAAGTGTTTATAACTGTAATTATGTCAAATTGTGTAAATTAGCCCTGAAAAGACTCCCATCAACTGGGTAGCATTCTAGAATTTTATTGTTCAGGTTGTTTGTCAAGTCTTGTGATAGGGAAATGCTTATTTTGGCAATACTTCTATGCTGAGAAGTCTTCTAGGTGTTTGACAGTTCACCCAATTCAGTCTGTCTTGCCAGTTATTCATTTAATCAGAACAAAATTAGACCTTACAGCGAAATAGTAAACAATCAACAGAAATTATGCAAGGCAGAGAGGATAGAATTACAAGAATTATATGGGTAGTAAAATGGTCAGAATTTTACTAAAATATCAATTTAAATGTGGTATCAAGGAAGTTGCTCTGGCATCATGAACCATTAGGAAAACAAAACCTAACCTCAGCTGCCCTTGGTTAGTGCTAACCAATTAATCCTGCTCAGAGCCTGTGAGCGCTTTAGGACGAGGCAGCGTGCTGCAGCCGCCCGCTCCCCGCGGCCTGGGGGACGCAGCAGGTCAGCAGCACGGTCACTGGCACGCGCTGCGCCGGCGCCTGCCCCTGGACAGGGACTCCTTGGGACACCTTTCCGCAGAAACTGCCCACGGCCCAGCCATGCTCTTCTGGAGCGCTTACTCCCTTTGTTCTGTGTGCTAAGAAATAGGGCATTCTAAATGCTGCAGCTGGGTTCTTTGGAGGGGTGTACTGGTTGGTTTTGGTGAGGAGTTTCTCAGTCTCCAGGCTCATTCCTCACGTTTATTGCTGATGGAGAGGCAGTTGTGACAACATCTGCCTGTGAGTGGAAGTCATCGCTACATGCATCACCTGGTGACAGCAGGTCATCTAGAAAATATACTTACGGCATGTTAGGACTCCTCCAGCAGCACAGCAAAGGCAAAAGGAAGAAGTTTTTCTGTAATTACTCTTTATCTTGAAGTGTTTCCCTGTTTCTATTTAGTTGGATAGGATGTGACTGTTCTGGATGCTTCTAACCAGACTTGCTCTGCTGTCACTATTTGCTGTTGTGAGAAACCTGACAGGTGAGGGCTCTGGGTAAAAAGAGCTGTAAGAAAGGACACGAGGCAGAGCTAAAAACCTAAGAGATGAATAGTTTTAAGGCTGTTCCATGATGAATTCTTTCTAGTACAGTAAGCTCTGTTAATTTAAGTAATTCAGCTAACAGTGTGGTTGCCATAGCGAGGTAAGAAGGGTATGCAGCTGCAGGAGGGGCTGTGCAGGGCCTGTGCTCAGCACTGTCGTGGGCCCTGTCCACCAGCAGCCCCAGCTGCCTGCGATGCTACTACTGCTTCTACGTGCTGCAGAGACTGTGCTTCCAGTCAGCGCTGGAGGCTTCCACAGGAAACCTTCCAGTTCAGGACTGTTCAGAGGGGGTGGCTTATGCTATCCTGAGAAGCTGTAAATAAAATTTGTTGCTGGCAACAGCAGTTACCATATGTGTAATTTCCCAAACACCACAGTAGGAATTGCTTTGGAAGGAAAAGAGAAGACAGACAAGAGCAAATTAATTACTCGGTTGTTAGAGTATTCCACAGATAAACATGATCCAGATCTCATTTAAATAGATATTAGATAATAGATTAAATCATTATTCCATGTAGCCATATAAAGAAAGAATAGACTTTAAAATTACTGAAAAACGTTTACATGTTGTTTCTCCTGAAGATTCTGGCCTCTGTCGGACAGTCACTCTGAATTACCGACCTTCACCTTATGAAATGAAAGGCTGTGCAGTACTACCGCAGGCTAGAACCACAGCCCCATCCCAGGAAGGGAGTGAACTGGAAGCCCGTGCAGTGAGTCTCCTGTGTGCACAATTCCCTACGCTCCCTTGCTGAGCCCTCCCAGCGCAGAAGTGGAGACAGACACCGTTACAGAGCAGTCTCCTCCTCACGCCCACTCCCACTCCGCACCACACACACTAGCCAAGGACGTCTGTGTACAGGAGGGGTTCCCTCCAGTAGAGCTGTGTCGAAGGGAACAATAGTCCCCATTAACTTCTTCAGACTCTTCCATTGTGAGAGCCACAGGGTAGAAAACCAGCATCCTTAATTTATCAAGAATTTGAATTCATGCTGTACTTCTCACCCCAGAGGATGCAGATACACTCAGTGTGTATTTGCAGTGTCAGGCACGCTGTCCTGCTACGCAGCTGTGTAACTCTGCAGGGCTACCTGCCTGGCAGCTCAGAACACAAAATGACTGTGATCCCGTGAAAAGAAATACAGACTTTGATCCTGCAGGAGAAATATAAAGAAAGCCAGAACCTAATTATTCAATTAATTGAGCTAACAGACTAGGTAACACCAGTATGTTCAGGGAGGCTGATTTTGAAACAACCCGTGTTTCCAAGTGTCCAGGTTTAGACCTTAACCACAAAAGCACTTCCACAGGCCCCAGTACATCAGCAGCACTTTTTCCCACACCTAGCTACTCTTTGCCTTGTCTTTGATCAGCTATTACCATAGTCTGGCTGTATTTAATATTTTGGCTAACTGCACTGGAGGACAAGGAACCTGAAACATCTGCTTAGACATGAGAAAGTGATCGGTTAATGTTTTAATTTTCTTCTTGCTCTACTACATTTGTCCTTAATTCATGTGTAACAAGCATTTCTTGTAATATTCAACACTTTATAAGAACAAGTTTATTAGGTTTTGGTACTCCTTGAGCTGTGTCACACCAGAAGCCTACAAACTCTTTAATCCCATTTATGCACAGTGGAATTGTTTAGAAGTACAAAAATCTGAAAGCATTCAGTGTTTTTTGATTTTGAATCCTTGACTTTAACTTAAATATGAAAATGTATATGCAAAACACGTGCAGAAAAAAATATTAAATACAACTATTACTATATAATACTGTGTTTTAACAGCTGGTGTTAAATTTGCTTGCAGTTACTGCTGTAGTTAGTGGTAACCAAAATTCCTTTGTATAAGGATAGTTGTGTTTTTCTAGTAGCAAGTTTTAATCTTTGCAAATTGGGTGTAGAACTTGCCAGCTAGGAAGTTTGTGTGTGAATACAGCAGTAAAATGAGCTTTTAGTGGGTGCATTTCAAGTCTTTTCCAGCATATCACATTATGCAGTATTTACTCTCCTGAGGACTACATTTAAGCTCCAAAGACACTTGTGCCGAATTAATTTAGAAGGAAGTTAACACATACCCATGTTTTTCCTTCAAAACAGATACCCTATTTGCATATTTTAGCATATAATTTTAAACACCACATTTACAAAGAAATTATTTGTTCTAGTTCTACCTCATTTTTCCTAATTTCAGATGTCCAGATAGGCTCCATCCAAAAACCGCAGATGACAGCTGCTGCTGACAAGGTGCTGCATGGCATTATAATGACAGAGCGCCAAAAGAAGGGCCAAAGCCAGAAGGTTTTCTACAACTTAACTGATAACCAACACTTACCAGATGAAGTGGCTGGGTTTCAGGAGATCTGAGCTCTGTTCTTGGTCCCTCCTTTGCATTACTGGACCAATCACTTCTTGGGTTCTGCATACCTCAGCTGTGAGATAGATGGAATGATTTTTACCTTTAGCATACATATTTTATTATTTCTAACTTCCCAGATGAAAACCAAAGTCTGTCCTGATCAAGTCAATAGCAGCTGTATCTTTAATTCCAATTAAGACAAGAATAATATGTACATAAGCAAGATTTAGCTATGAGGTAACACCCTACAAATCTGAGACACAAATACTTCAGAAAAACGTTCACTTGGAAGGCAGTTAAATCAGGATGTGATAGTGATACGTATGACAAGAAAGGAAGGTTTGTTATTTAGTGAGACGAGTCCAGTATCCTGAACCTGACAGTGATGATGCCCAGTGTAAGAGACAAAAGTAGATTGTCTGAGTAAACTGTGCAAGGTTTGTGCTGCAGCTGCAAGGACATTCCTTTCCCAGTATCAATTCTAAACTGCTAACAGATTTGTGTGGTTACTAGGGAAAAAGCCATTTTCAATAACTAGATACTGTGACCAAAGAGCCTAACCTAAACTCCCCTGTTAGAATGTGCAGATCGATTGAAATACTAGTGCAAATTCATTTCTTAATTTTCTTCAGTTGGCACTCAATTTATTTCTTGGTCTCTAGAGATTGGTTTTAATCATAAGCATATAATGACAATGCAGGCAGTTCGGTTTCTGGGTTAAAATGAGATAGGAAGCCTTCATACTGAGCACTCAGAAAATCTAGACTAATTAAATACACCACACACGAGAGCAATAAAATTGTCATTCAGTATTTTTGTTTTCCAAAGGAGTTACATTTTCGTAAGAGTTACGTCTCACAAAGCAATAGCAATGCCTGTTTTCTCTCATGTAAAACCCATAAATCTTGTCTTTCCTAGGGAAAGTATCAAAATCTTGGGTTTTCTAATTGTGCTGAAAGGAGTTTCTTATTTGTCTGGCGGAAGCTGAGTAACTAGGTATCCCCTATGCTGAGGCTGGTAAACAACAACCTGAACTTTTCTTCATTAGTTTTCTAGATTAGAACCATATTTTCATCCATAAGGACAAAAAGAGAAAGAACAAGGCAGTAAGTGCTCTTGGACATGATCTTCAGGTGCAGGCTGTGAGGGGATTTTCATTAATATTGCATCTTGGGCACCCTCAAAAGCGGGGAGGGAAGACGCCTCAACGAGTCTTGCACAAACAAGCACTGCAGGAGGAGCCTCCGAAAGCAACGTACACACAAGTGATGTCCGCCTCAAAACCAAAAGAGCAAAAATCTAGGAATACACAATTTGCCACATCACAGATCAGAAAATTAATTCAGGAGATGAATCACCTTATCTAGAAGGCTGCCCGAGGCAGCAGCTCACCGTACACCAGGAGGAGGATTCCCTCTGACCCCTAAGTGCCCTCTTCACCAAGGCCGAGATTTGATCGTCTCGGCATGGCTATAAAATGTCCTTTTATCAGCACCTGAACCCAGCCCACTAAAACACCCCATCAGTCACTGAACATGACGCCTCCAACGGTGAGTTCCACAGGTTTCCTACACCCACAGAAATCACAGTAGTTGTTGCAAACTTCTAACTAACATTCCTTTTTTCCTTAGAAATTTCATTTACCAGTTTCACACTGGTATTCACAGATATTCAGACTTTTAATCACTGAAGTCGTATCCTACTAATTTCCATTTACATCCGAAGCAAAGTCCTATTTTTGTTTCATTTTGGTATATTTTGTAATTCCCTACCATCTGAATATTCCATCACACTTTGAAGCATCTTTGTTGCCTTTCTTTGTCTTCTTTAGACATCTTGAAGCAAGCCTAGATCAGGGCAGATAAATCAAGCCCGATTTGTTTGCAGAAGTCATTTATATGTAATCTCAGACAGAAGGAGAAAAAGGTAACCTTTCTAAGCTTTACACAAAGTGTATTTGTAGAACATGCAAATAAAGCCAATGTATCCAGCACTCCCAACATTTGTTCCTTATATCATCATACTGTTTCTCTAGAGGCAGCTACTGTATGGCACAATCTGTGAAAAATTATATAAAAAAAAATCTGATTTTCAGTTAGAGCAAAAATTACCCTACAGAAAACACTGGTGCAGAGCACAACTTTGGATTCATTTCTGTAAGCTATGTGCCACCCAAGGCTCCAGAGATATTTAGAACCACAGAATTTACCTATATCTAACCCTCCTGCTCGTAGAAGGAAGTATAAAATGCAGCCATTGTTAACTTATCTAGTGCAGAAACACATCTTAAGTAAATCCTACTTCAGAATTTTAGAGTATCAAAGTTGGGCACTGAGCAGGCAGTGACTACTCGGTATAGCGGGTTCTGCATTTACGGTTTTCTGAACGCTGCCAAGTAGGACAGTAGGGAGTAGATGGCATGAGGAGGATGCAGGAAAGACACACACTGACAAACTAATAGAAAATGTCAACCTGTGAATCGTCTCTCACAGCATTTTTGGAGCTTACTCTGCTTTACTTACAGAGCACCTGTTTGCCAAGGAGTTGGAAAATTTGTCATACTGCTTTAGATTTGAGAAGGAATTAATCCATAACCTATATATATATATATATATACACACACACACCCACCCCTCTACCCTTGACACAACCATAAAGCAGAAATTCTAAACTCAATAACGTCATCCAGTACTTCCAAGCAACAGGCAATACTAAAAATACATGAATGACTGTATGGAATAAATTGCTCACTTTTTCCTGTGAACACTTTCTCACTGCAGCAGTATCCACAAATGACCACACAGAAGATAAAGTGACTTGTGACATTTTCTCAGGACTAAGTTTGGTGTACTAACAGTCACTGAAAAATTTACCCCAGTATTCTGGAGAAATGAATGAGAAGATTATGTGTACTGTTTGGAGTGGAGACTACCCCTGTTATACGGACCTCGACATAATTATTTGTTTCAAATGATGAAAGCAATAGTGAAGATTGGAGTTTCTGCCTCAAAAGTAGAGCAAAGGTAGACATCTGAGGTCACTGACTGACATACAAATAGAAAATTACAGACTAGTGAATGCAAGGATCAATATAGCACATGTGATACGAGATTGGCTACACCTGATAACCCTGTAAGACCTTCTTCTGAAATAGCCATGGTTAGGCAAGCTAGCAAGAGCACTACTTTTTTTTCTCTTTTAGGTATAATAACACAAGCTTTAATGTGACAAGTAAAAAGTAGGTTTAAACTCCCTAACAAAAGCGTACACTTTGTAGTAACTTGTTAAAAAGAGCCATCGGTCTGATTTTCAGTAATGCTGACAACCCCCAGCGTTTACTATCCTTCATTATTACAAGTGATCAAACCGTCTTAAGTTTCACGCCCGAGAGCTTTTACTAACTTACTTATGAAGCCTTGGTTCAGTCTAGAGCAACAACCTCACTTCCCCGTTTTCCCTTCCTACATTGCTTTTTCTAGGAAATTTGGAAGCGGAGTACAACTTGCAGCTCATAGAGCCTACCTAAATGGAATGTCATCTAGCACATGTGCCAAGTACAAACAATGACTAAACTGACCAAGTAGATGGTGCAAATTATTTATTCAGCTTTAATGATGCCACCTATGCACATATGAATCCTTCCCTTAAAATACCTAAACTATGTGAAGTAGCATCTCTCTCCTTTTCCTGTCAAGTGGTTTTTTTGTTCATACACCAAAACACAACCTTGGCAATCTGACTTCGGAGTAACAAAGGACAGAAAATTACTTGGTTCTTGCTGAAGAGATTTCTTACTGAAGAAAATCAGAGAGTAAATAGAATGGTAAATTTCTGTTAAAAACAGCCAGAAATAAAAAAGATTTATACTGCAGTGTAAAGGTGAGATTTTTGGCAAGAAAACCCGTGAGTTCTTCAGAACTTTTTGGCTAGGTGTATGTTCACAGAAACTTTCAATGCATCTTCTGTCATGAAGTCAGAACATGCTTTGTGTTGAAGGGAGTTTATCCGAGGAGCACAAAATGGTATATAACCCCAGTTTGCCGTAGCAATAGTATTCCAGGTTACACGGAGTGTGTACACTAGACATATTTCTTAAAAAATTTTCTTTAATGTCTCTGGTATTATTAAAGGAAGCGTCCCACTTGTAGCCCTCTAGACAGAGAAACTTTTATAACAGCTTTCAAGTAAGGCTGGTTCTGCAAGGACCAGTATTACAGAGAGGACCCATCCCACCTACGGCCCTGCAGAATACAGAAAGGGAGAGGTTTGGGAACTGCATGTCCACCACCCCCCAATAAACCAAAACAGAACCCAGGGAACAGTTCAGCAAGGACTGTCTGATCACTCTGCATAGCTTACTAGTACTCCAGCTCTAACCTAGAACATGTAACTGAGTCCTTCCAACGTGCTGCCCTTTCTAAAAGCAAGTTGGCTTTTCCATGCAGGAGCCACCCCCAGGCTGCCTACCACAGGTTGGACATCCCTGCACTGCAGCAGCTGGCATCCTTAGATACAGTATTACTGAATAAATTCTACCTTAAGAGAGAGTTGAAAGGAAACCTCTTACATAGGGCAGATATGCAGAAAGTACAGTAACTCTGAAGGAAGCATTGCTTCCCGCTGTGTTCTGACACGTTCCAGTAGCTGTGGGTCACCCAGGATGCGTGACTCGAGGAGCGTTAACATTAAAAGCACGCTTATGAAGCACTCGCTTCTGTACGTGTCTAAGGTTACCAGCAGGACTTGAGAGCATCTGTGCTTCTCACAGGAATTGCTTCAATTTGCGTTGCAAAACCCATCAAGTTTTCAGTCGAGCTGGTTAGTGCTGTCACATTCAGTCTAGTTTTATAAAATAGCTGACCTGGATATTTCTTTATTGTCTCAAGCCTTCTGCCATTGAGCTGCCTCTCATCGACCAAGATCATAATCCTAACTGTTCGATTGGGCAGAACTCCTCTTTAACTCATTTCAGCCTACAGAGTTGTATTTTATGTATCATGATTAAAGATATTACCCTAGGCTATCATTTTCTTGCCTCTAAATTTGAAAGTAGAGCTCCCACCTAGGATGGGGAAAGGGAACCAGACAGGCAACTTCAGGCTAAGTGAAAGGCGGAGTAAACCATTTTGCTGAGCAAGTGGTAAACATGGCATTCTGAGTTTTAGACAAGTTTCAGTAAATGGTTATGTAAAGAAAAGAATTAAGTAAAGGGACACCTTTGTCTGCGGGGTTCCAAATGCTAACAATGAAACAGACTGCAGAAACCATTCAGGAATACCCTAATTTGGAGGCAAACCAGTCAGAGTAGCAAAATGTAGAGGTAGCTTTCAGCAGGTCAGTCCTGCTTGCTGCCTTCTTTCGGTGGAGTTACTCAGTCCGTGTGCTTTCATGATTAAACAGCTCGCTGGGTCAGACTCTGCAGGTGCACCGTCATCACCCGAGAGGTAACAGGCCGATCCCCCCGTCACAGCTTTGCTTTAGGCAGATGAAGGCAAAAAAATGAACACAATTAAGTAGGCTAACAAGGAAATTTTAGTAAGCGCTGTAGAGACGCCTCTCCCTGTACTTCAGAGCAGTTCTCTATTTATACGCTGGCTGAAAGGAGCCGAAGCCGTGCAGCCCGCCTCCTCTCCGAGGGATTAAGCCCGGGTTCTGCACAGACCCACACCTCTGAGGAGCTGCATCGTTCTAACAGGACTGCAGCCTTTACCTTTCTCTTTCTTGTGGGGAAAAAAAATCTTGCTCCTAAAAGCATCCCTGCTCTCTACACTGCTCAGTTCACACATTTTAGCCACTACTTAACTTTGGTGTCTCTTTTATGTTCATCTGTACTCGGCAGGGTGATTTTTGGGTAGCCACTGCTGCAGAGTGCTTTGCAGCACATCACAAAGAGCTTCCTCAGCTTTTTATCTCCCGAGTCACTTGTTTCTGTTAAATAGAAGCTGGATTTCACATGAGGGCACATCAGGAAAAGAGGAGGAGTGGGGTGGGCTTTCTGTGTGGGTTTTGGTTGCTTGCTTATTTTGTTTTTCCTTAGGAGTGGTTTAAGTTTTGTGGATGTAGCTGCCTGTATTACACTATTTCACATGAATACATTTACTGTAACACCTGTGTGTGCTCTACAAGATTTAGAAGAGAGAAAAAACATTGTCTCCACTGTGAGCATCCTCCTTGCTCTACCCCAAAATCTGCCCATTCAAGAGGAAGAAACCCTTGGCCACTGAAACAAATGGGAGTTAGGCAGAAATTCCAACTCAGCATGGCAGTATTTGAGCCTTAGTGCTGTGCCTTCCTCTAACAGAGCCCTGAGTTAGGAGACTGGGCCCCATACACAGTCCTGCGGGAGAAAGAATAGATTCACAAAGTGCAGCCAACAAACCGCGTTCGCCCCAGCCCAGGTGCTGAAGCCAGCTAGACCTGAGCATTCCTCCTCATTGGCAAAAAGGCTGCTCTCAAAGTTCATTTCACAGAGTTGGGGCAACAAGAGTTTTGTACCAGGGAAACACTTGTGGTTTAGTGTCATGCTGTATGTGAAATGGAGAGAATTAATTCTGTTCCTTCACTTACACTAGGAAGTTAGAAACGACAGGAGAGGTTTAAAAGTACCGTACCCAGATTCATCCCCCAGATCCAAAAATCAGGCTAGTAATGGAGCTGAACTAGTCTCCCATAACTAGTTTTTTGGCAAAACAGAAAGGGGGACAGTGTATTTCTCCTGCTTCCTTATGCAAGATCTGAGCTGAGGGTGTCTTAGACACCAAAACTGAGACAAAGACTAAACTGATAAATGAAAGATACAGGCCTAGTTAACCTAAATGACAGCAGCACGAGCACCTCCAGCATCAGCTGGAAGCACAAGGAAGTTGATCTTGGGTTTAGGCAGAAACCCTTGTGGTAAACTGTAATTCCCAATTTAAACCCAGGGAGCTGACCCTGGGTGCCATGCAACACTGAGTATGCAGAGAAAACCCACAGTCAACAGTTTCCATTAAGAATAGAAACCCTATGTTTTGCTAGAAGATAGAAACAAAACAAACCAAGACAACTCTTTTGCCAACAAGGAAACATCCATTACCTCAGAGTTTTATATCTGAAGGACCTAATTTGAAGGCCATCACTGAATGAATTTGGAAAAAAACCCCACAACACTCACCACAGTGAGCTTTAGAAGACTGAAGTGACTTGGGGGGTGGTGGTGGTGTGGTGTGTGTGTGTGTGTTTAGGATAAGGGAACAAACAGCATATAATAATAAAGCTTTGGCTAATTTCCCATCCTAGTTTTTTCAAATTTCTTGTACATCAAGCAGTTTTATTGCTTACAGACGGCTTAGAGTTTATGCTCCTACCAGTCACCCAAATTGAACTGCTGTTATTAATCTGAATGTCAATAACAGTTATGCAGCAGTGGGAAATGCAGCTCACTCAGGGTTTTGTTATGGAGGCATGTTAAAATGCCTACTGCATGCCTGTCCATAAAGTATTCAGTGAAAATTGTATCGAGACTGCAGGTAGGTCTACCAAGCAGGACTGACATTTTGACTTTTGAGGATTACTCTAGAAATGGTCTCTCTTACCCAAAGTCATATTTAAAAGACTTAGAGCTTTCAAACCTAATTCTGTATTTCATTAGCCAGGCCCAAAAAATGTTTTTTGAACTCCCTTCTCAGAGACAGTACTTGATAAGTATAACCCGTGTGAACGAAGCAGAACCTGTACTGAACGGCAGAGCTACCCTTGTGTGAGGAACTGCCTTCTCTGGAAAAGCAAACTCAGCATTTCTGTGGGATTTATTCCAATATCCTTGTGATTATAATAGAAATCAATCACAGCTACGACCTTCTAATGCAGGGTATAACACAGACTTGAACAAAACTGATGAGGTGGGGCGTTTTTGTTTGGGGCTGGGTGGTGGTGTGGGTTTTTTTTATAGCAACTGTTTTTCCCCCCATAGTACAAATAAGTGATCTCCATGTGGCTGCTCTTTCCATATGTCAGTGTACTAATCTGTACTGATTTACGCTCCAGTCTTTGATTTGCGGATTAAGCCAGTAATTCTCTACTATACAAGTCCAAGATACTCTAGAGAAAGTCAGACTTCCAGACTTCTGTGCAAATTACTCTGTATAGAAGAAGCTTCCCAGACACTAATGTGTACAAGTTATCTATTATCTTTATTAGACAGGATAGAGGTGAAAGAACCAACTGAAACCAGAATTAAAGGCAAAAAATGTCACCTACATGATCATTTAGCCGTGATTTAGGTCTATAGTTAACTGCGATAGCCCCGAGTGATTTAAGATCTGCTGCAGCTCAGCAGTGAATGCAGGGCTTTCACATGGCAGTACTAAGCAGAGAATTGAATGGAGAGTCAATACTGAGGAATAGCAACAGAACATTATTCATCTCGGAATTCAAAGAATAATTTTTTCTGCGTTTCATCCTACATCCAGGACACCCCTAGCCAAGGCACTGGTCCTCTTCTGCCTTTTTGTTAGTTTGTTTGCGAGGCACAGCAGAGCCCCTAAGCCAGGTAACGAGAGCAGTCGGGGAAGCTTTTGGCTCAGGGTTAAAAAGCATGGCTAGAAACGCAGCTTGGCTCTAGAAACCCCAGTTGCTGAAACGGTCACCAGGCACTTGAGGCTATTCTGAACTGCAGCAGGGATTAAACCAGCCTGTGGAACCTTCACTCCCAATCCAACCGAGTGCTTAGCTACCTTGGGGCTCAGCCTCCCTCCGAAACGCCTTCTACAGCAGCAGTGGACTTCAGCAGATGGACACTGGGATGGTCTCTAATCGGTATTATCATGCAGTAGCAATGCAACAATTTCACAATGTTTAAGACAAACTTTTTTTTCCCCTCTCTCTCTCTCTTTAAAGGGAGGTCCAATCCAGAACCGAAAATCCAAGCGTTGCCTGGAATTGCAGGAAAACAATGAAAATGAATTTGGATTTCAACTCGTCCTTCAGAAATGCACTGGACAACGCTGGTCTATAACAAACGTTCTGAAAAGCTTGTCATCATAGCAGACTAAATTTTTTACCCATTTATTTTGCTACTATGTAGCAAATATTGCATTGTTGCCTGCTGTACTGTATTCCTCTCACACACACCCCCATCTCCCTGGTTCCTTTTCTCCTCTTTTTTTGGTTCCTTTGATTTTATTTTGTGAGTGTGTGGACCTTGGGTTTGTGGGCTGAAAATACGACTTTTTATTTGACAACGATGTTTTCATGGCATTTATAGAGACGTTGAATGACAGGTGATGGGTAGGCTATCCTGAAATATTTTACAACTGTAAATAGGAAACAAATGGAGAATATTTATAACTCAAAACTTTTATTGAATAAAAAAGTCCAAACACTATTACTGTCTAGCTGTCTCCATGGAAATCCATTTGGAAGTTAACTAGTGGTTTCACTGTTTTCATTAACCCAATGCTGACGCTCAGCCCGTTGTTGGCAATCATCAGTATTCTCCAGACTTGTGGTAAAAAGTCCTGCCTGCACACCTGTACCTGCAGCAAAGGTGAATTTCCTCCTTTCTCCCTCCTGGGACACCCGTCTGGGCCACTGTAGCTACTAGTGTGCAAATACAGGGGGAGGTGTGGTGTGTGTATAATATGCACCCACCTACTTTTCCTCACCAGTACTACTAAATAAAACCACAAAGAGAACCCCAGGGCTCAAGCAAGGCAGGGAATAGAATTAATTAAAAAGAAGGAAACGCAGCTACAAGAGAAAAGCAGCAGCTACTAGAAGAAAAATTGTAAAAACACCCCACCCAACAGATATTTCTCAATGGGTTGGCCTCCGTTTCAATGACTGCACTTTCCTTCCAATTGTTCATAGTTCTTACAACTTTTTTTTTTTTTTTTTTTTTAATGCACTGCTGCCTGGCTACCGCAGACTTGGATAAAAATGGCTCCATGCAAAAGCAACAACGAAAAGCATGAATTCACTCCTCCTCCCTCCCTTTAAGGAGGTGTGAATGCAATGCTGTACCCCTTCATCTCAGCTAAGAATGGGATGAGGCAAGGAAGAAACGCTCTCATGAGATAAACCAGAATACTAGGATGACTGGCCTCTTTATTTCCAGCTGCTTTTATTTGTGTGTAAATTCTTTTATTACTCTATTTGTTCTTTTTATTCTCTTGTTTGTTACCTTAAGTAACAGTCAGAACCTCTTTTGGAGCCGGTTATGTACCAAATGTCTTTTACAGGCTGGCTTCACATTCTGACCAACTAGCAGTATTGTTTCTGATGTCTGTTTAGTAAGTCATGGGGCAGGTTAATTATGTGTGTTCAGCCTTCTGATACATATAGTTACCATATATCTGCTTTCCTGGTAAGAAAACACTGAGCCAACAACAGGAAAACAGTTAAGAGCCAACGAAGGTGGGTTTAACACCTGCACTCTGACTTCAGGTGTCCCTCAGGCCTGTTTGAGTGAGAACTCCCATTAAAATTAGAACCCCAGAAAAGCATCAGTAACCTGAGTGTCGGGGTCCCACAGCCAGACGAGATAAAGCAGCTTTAATTTCACCCTGTAGAGAGGATGCGGGGGCACACCAAGCCTTCTGCACCCTGGAGCACATGCAGCGTGCCGCCGGGCGCACGCAGAGCCAGCCGGCACCCCCAGCAGCAGCCTATCGGGGATGGAACTAAGCCGCCCGTCAGCACAGGTGACACGAGCGCCGTGCGCGGAGCTGCAGCCTACGGCAGAAACGAGCAGCGTGGAGCCAACCAGACCCGGCTTTGTACAGGCCTCCTGCACTCTGAGCAGCCACCTTCTGTTTGGTGAGGTTTTATGAGCACTAGAGGGAAATACCTGGCAAAGACTTGACAGTAGAAGGAAGAGGCAACTGGTTCATTTCATACCGAAATAAATACTGTATGTCTAGCACTGGCCCAAGACAACTGCAGTTATTCCTGATTATGTTCCAACAGTGGGCTGATGTTCACTGCTAAGTGAAAAAAAAAACAAACAAAAAACAACCACCCAACAAAACCTTAAGTGAGCCATGTAGTGTCCTCTGAGCCGTGGTGCTATCCCGCCATACCTCCCACTACCCACCAGTCCTCCCGGGGCCCGCACGCAGCAACAGTTCTCTACAGCTGCTCTAACGCAGAACGGCGTTACCAGGAACCCCCCAGTGGTACCTGCGGGTTTAAATGCGCTTGCACTGCAATGCTAGTAACTACAGTGGAATTACCAAAATAAACAAGGGGACACACACACACATCCAGATTTGAAACGTTACTTTATACTACAGCAATTCAGCTATATGAACACACTTTTACCTTTGTTTTCTATCACAGAGAAAACATTTTTATATGGTAACTTAGAGAAAACACTGAAATTGATGTAAATCTGTGGCTAAACCTACTAAAATGGTATAGTAAAATTATGAACGTACACAAGCAGCACCATTATGGTGCGTTTCCTGAGACCCAAGGTCACAATTTTATCACTGTGGTATCCAGAATACATTCATCACGACTTCTGTTTTTAACACTGACAACAAAGCAGAACATAACGTCATCGTACTTCAACTTTTGTTTAAATAAAGGTTTTCCACAGCGTTAAATCAGAATAACTTCTCGAAACCAGAATACCAAAGAGACGTGCTGATACAAAGGCTCGGCAGGCAATCATTAAGGCTTTCCAATAACTGTGTTTTCTACCGATTTGCTGTACTATTGCTTAAGCTACGTACACACACACACCCACCCCCCTCGCTTTTATGAAAATACTTAGAAGTGCAGAATACGATGCCCAGGAATGTCGTTCACAGCTACGTTCTCAAACAGCAAAGCAATGTAATTTGTTTATTGACTAACATTAGCTTTGAATTGTCAGGTGGAAGTGACTAGTTTACCTGAATTCAGTCTTGTTATGCACAGTCACAGAAGGGGATCTTTGTGATAAGCCATCTGAAAACTCTTGTAACACCACAGAAATATACTTTTCATCATAATATACTATTTCGAGTGAAGTAGGCTCGTTTGAAGCGCATATATGACAGGACAGAATTTTTCAATTAAAAGTGTGTGTGTGTGTGTGTGTATATATATATATATTTTTTTTTTTTCCATCTTAGTATATGAAAACAAGTATGTATTAATTGCAAAAGGCTAGAGGTAAATACGATTTTAATTCAGCTTTTAAAAGGCAGAATGATTCTAAGGAAACTGAACCACAGTTTAGAAGGCGAGGACTGCTCAGATGTAAAAGAAAGCATCAAGAGGAAGTCCAACCTTTAAACTCTGCTGACATCCTTGGCCAGTCGTCCTCCATGTGGGTGGTACAGATTTTTTTTTATGAACAGCAGCACACAAAATTTTTTAAATACTGACACTTTCTTTCTACTAGAAATCTCTACAAAATCCTACCTCTTTTGGCAGCTAAACTTGGTTGCACCATAACCCAAGTCCACAGCTATCCAGCAGTGTTCACTCACTCATTTATCCACAGAAGGAAAGTCACATTGTCCAGATAAATCCAGGGGGCTATTCACACCTCAGCTTTTCAGAACATAAAAATGCATCTTCTTGGCCAAAGGCAGCAGCTTAGTAAAGCCGTAGTAGAGTGAATGTGGTCCCAACGCTCCAGCACAGCCCGGAGCACCGTAGCTGCAGAGGGCTGCGACCCCAGCCAGGCCAGAGGATGAAGAGAAGCATCTTGTCAGCACACACCTGAATACCATCGGCCTCAGCTTGTCGTTTTGGCTCATACAGTTCCCTTACCTCCTCTCCCTGTTGAAATCACTTGTATCTCAGTGTTTATTTCCCCATCTTTAACCCTTCCTCTAGAACTGGCATACTAGCAGTTCATCTCAGGAGGATCTGTTAATTTTCTGAAAAAACAGATAGGAAACTAAATATCTGTATGTGAAGTGCCCCCGCGTGACAGTGGTTCTCATACCAGTGGTGAATATTTTGCTGCAGATAACACTGACAGAAGAGCACTGATTTCAGTTCAAAACAAACCACCAAAGGCTACGTTCTTATCTTCAGCCTCTGTTACTAAGGGGTTCTGTGCATTGCATCTTTGTTCTTTACTGTTATTTTAGAATTCTCCTAGACATTGTTCAGCTATATAGTGAAAACTAAGTCTTCTATGACTTAAGTTCCAAATGCTCTGGAAACGCTCACAATTAAAGAGGCAATACTAAAAATATGTCCCAAGCATGTCTACAGATGGACAAATCACAAATTGAAAGCTCCTGCCATTTTCAACAGTCTGAAGATCACCACGCAGCTCTTACTCAAATCCAGAGCCAAACCTTAGCAGGAAAATACCGAAAGGCTGTGCAACCTGCTGCGCCAATACCTGCTAGTAACAGGCGTCATCCTCACCTAGTGTAAGTTAGCATACACCACACATAAGTGGTGTTCAGAACTCACACACCTATAAACACCTATAAACCTATACCACAAGAGGATCTTACCAGCCAAATTAGATACTGAGAACACCTTTCTGAATGGTTGGAAAAGTACAACACAAGCACTTCAAATACAAGATTTAAAAGCTATCCCATGGTCAGGAACTTTCCAAAACAGATCTTGTGCTCTAAGTATTTATGATGAACATACCTAGTCAGATTTGGCAGCCATTTGGGGAGAGCTTGTTTTATTAAGAGATGAAGAAAGATCATCATCACGTTAGAGAGAAGTCAGTCACCTGGACTTCTACTGTTCCTCACATGCTTTGCTACTGAACACATTTTACGGGGTACACATCACACAAGAGAAGAAAAAAAAAAATCACAAAACCAGTATCAGTAGCAGCTTTAAATTTGTGGCAGGTGTCACTTTTCTAACCTGTTTTACCTTCCTTTCCTAAAAGAAGTAGAGTCCCCACTTGAACTGAATTACTCTGAAGGCACGCTGGCTGGCTCTGTATCAGATACCCGACCCTCCTGCCTGCCGAGGACGGCAAGGCACGCCGACTCCGCTTCCCCAGTCTGTGTGTATTGTGACTAGGCATCTCACTGTTACGGTTTCTGTGTGTTTAGTAGTCAAAAAAGTTAAAGAAAAAGCATCTCTACTCTGAAATTTGATAGCAGACAGAATTCAAGATGACACTTAAAACAGTTTGTATCTAAACCACTGTACTGTTCTATAGTATGACTTCGCCTACTTGGTCTCACAGTCAAGAACTGTTGCCAAGGATGGCAAATTTAAATAATTCTGCTTCTTAAAAGTGATGCTTTCAGGTATTAAATCCTTGACTGAAGTTTCCTGGGAGAGATTAAATCACATGGAGCTTTCATCATCTGAAAAGATCCGAAAAGAACGCTGTGTATCACATCTAAACTCCTGCAAGTCAAGGTTTCCTAACCTAGTTTCAGAAGCCCGTCTATTCACTTAAGACTTTAGATGTCTGC